CATTATCAGTTCCCTTCCTTCCTTCCTTCCTTCCTTCCTTCCTTCCTTCCTTCCTTCCTTCCTTCCTTCCTTCCTCTCCCTCCCCCTTTTATTGAGACAGTGCCTCTGGCTGGTTTGGAACATACAGAGGTTCACCTGCATCTGTCTTTTGAGTTATGAGATTAAAACCAGCCTGCACATGTATGGAGGCCTCAGACCACCTCTGTTGTTATTTCAAAAGAACCACTTGAATTCTGACATTAAAACTTACCTCTGTGCTAACTCTCTATTATTTCAAGAAAAAGCTTCTAACTAGGTTTAAAAATCACATTTTGGGTGCTGGGGAGTTAGCTCAGTTGAATCTCCAGAATCCAATTTAAAAAGCCAGGCATGATAGCTGACATTTGTAATCCAACACTGGGGAGGTAGAAACAAGCAGTTCCTTGAGCTCATTGGCAGCCAGCCTAGATGAATTAGTGAGCTCCCAATCCTAGTGAGAGACTGTCTCAAAACAAATAAACAAACGTGGGCTACACTTGTGGAACGATAATTGAGATTGTTTCAGGGTCTTCACACAACTGCATGTGCACCCCCAACATGTGTGTCTCCCATGAATTCAAACACCCATATCTCATTTTGGATTCATATCAGAGATCTAATATATTCCAGTTAACCAATTCTCCCTTACATCCTGTAGGTAGAATTCCTATCACTGCCTTTGGTCATAATGTTCAGCTTCCTCTCTCCTGATTTCAGAGGCACAGCCTGTGCAAATGTCAAGATGCAGTTCAAGAGTCATGGAAACTTCTGCCTTTTTAGGATGATTTTCCTCCTGGGAATGTGATGGCCCAGGCAGGAAGTGTCTCCCAGCTAGGACAGAGAAGTGCTGTGAATAGGATTATAGTCTTGTAATCACAGATAGACTATAAGATCCCTAAGAGTAATGGAGTACATAATGAACCTCTTCGCATCTTCTGTAGCAACAGGAGAGTATCCATTGTTGATTGATTGATTGGTTGGCTGCTTAATAAATAACTGACACCAGTTATCTTCTTTACAAAACCATACAGTTCAATTAGGGGAATATAGGAGTGACAACTTAATTTTCTTTGAAATAATTCCATTCTGCATAATGTGATAAATAGCAATGTAAAAAGTATAACCACCCTTTGTGATTAAAGTACAGTCCCTGTTGACCTGAAGCAAAGGTCGGTCAGGACCTCTCTTAAAAGCTCTACAACTCTGATGCTATCTCTTCTACACTCAGGGCTTCCAAGCAAGGCTTTGAACACCACACATTCTAGCTTCTGGCTTGCACATTTGCATATACTGATACTAAAGAAATGAAGTACTTCCTCCCTGGGTGGGGGGTAGGGCTTTCTCCCATTCTTTCTCTCCTCTAGACCTGCCTATCATCTAGCTCTTTCCACCATTTAATTTCTGGAAAACATTGACTCATCTTCAAATATTATTCAGCTTAGTCAGTATTTCCAGTCTGTAATTAAACACATTTTTTCTTTTTCTGGTATGACTTATGATACTTGATCTGTATTTTTTCTTGAATTGGTAATCTTATCTACTCTTTTAGATAACTGCCTTTTGCTAGTTCAAGTTTTATGTTCTCTCTCTTTCCCTCTTTTCCTCTACCCATCCCTCCCTTCCTTTCTTCCCTCCTTCCTGCTTTTTTTAACCTTTGTTGTTGTTGTTGTTTTGGCAAGACCTCATGTCCCAGGCTGGCCCTCAATTCACTTTTGAGAATAACCTTGAACTCCTGACCCTTCTTCCTCCACCTTCTATGTATTGGGGTTTCAAGTGTGCACTGCCATGTGGTCTCTGAAGTGTTGGGTGCAGAACTCAGGGATTCCTGTGTGCTGGGCAAACATACTAACAACCAAGCCATTTGCCAAGCTGGATCCTAATTTTATTGAGGGTATGAAACGAGTCATATTTTTCTGTTTTCTGAGACTTGCTGAGCTTGTTTTTGCACACTGTCATCCTCAACAAATATTTGCTGAATGAATCAATGTATTACAACAGTCAAAAGCAGCTGTCGTTTCTCAGGACGCCTTCCTGTAACTCAGCCTGGCTATTTGCTCTGGGTGGGAATTTGGAAACCAAGAACAAACTCAATGGGAAATTATTTTTAAAGATTTAAACAAAACCATTTGCTAAAGGACTATGAAACTCTTATGTTAAAAACAGAAGTCCCATTTCTTGGCTACAGTGGTCACACCTGCCTGACTTCCAACTGGGTTCTTTATAAAGGTGATGCACAGCTGGCAAAGTGAGCCAGATGTTACCATCTGAGAAATACACAGCTAACTTGAATGCTACAAGCAGAGAAGAGACTGCACCAGATGGATGTCCTTTCTCTTACACAGAGATTCTGGACTGTTTCTTTCCCCAGACATGGTGAAAGCCAGTCCACCCTCGGTCAGAAGTCAGTGTTGAGCCAGTCCCCAACATTTCTCTGTGAATGCCTCTTCTGAAAAACAGTAAAGGGAACCTTGACTTGCCCTTGACTGGAAACCACAAGACTCATTCTGTGCTTTTTTGGGCATGTGTCTGAAGGACAAAGGGCATCATCTTGTACTTTCCATGATGTTTTTTGAGACTGAGCCTCTCACTGGCCTGGGGGGGGGGCGGTCACCAGTTAGGCTAGACTGGCTGGTCAGCAAATCCCAGAGAGCCTCCTGTCTCCACCATCCTAGCTCTGGATTACAAGTATATGCTACTATGCATGCTTTTTTATGTGAGCTCTGGGGTTTGAACTCAGGTCCCATGCTTGTAAGACAAATTCTTTACTGACTGAGCTATTTCCTCAACTTAGTCCATAATTTGCTTTTAACAATGATGAGGGAAAAATTATATTAACAATTAATTCAAGGTTTGAATGAGATGCTAGTTTACAGCAGGGTTTCCTTGGCAGGCAGACTTAGTACTTTTGCCCATGTTGTTAAATTTAACAAACAAATAAACAACAGAACAAGAAATAGGGTATCCAACTAGATTGGAATTTTAGAGAAACAATGAGTAATTCTTAGTGTATCCAAAATACTGCAATGGGAAATACATACACTAACAATTATTATTTTTAAGCCATATCAAGCTTAACTGGGGATTCTGTATTTTTTTTTTAGCAACACTATTTTTTTTTGAAACCTTAAAATCAATCCTGGATGAAAAAGACAAGTAGATGATACTATGGGAAAGGGTTTGGTGTGGCTATTATTAGTGATATTAATTTGCCATAAGATCTCTGTGACCTTAAAAGAAAAACTGAGCACACCCAGTTAATCAGTTTTCAGAGTAAGAAAGTGACCACTTAGTATGGAAGTAGTTCCCTATGGGCAACACCTGGCCTCCTCTGAGGGATTAGGGAGTTTCCTAAGGGTGTTGTGGTATCTGGAAAGGTTCCTCTCATCTTTGATTGACAGGAGCATATGACTATGGGAGAAGAGAGCACCACTGAGCTGAGCACAGGCTGAGGTCTCACAACCCTGCATTAAGTCCTCCAATGTGATCTTCCCAGTTCCTCACCCTCTGCCAAATGATGCAGCCAGTTTAGAGAAACAAGGAAAACATTCCTTCCTCAATTACCTGTAAAGCAGGGTATTTTGCCTGAGTGTATGTCTTTCTATGAAACACCCCATCATATTCTTTGGATCTCCAGGATGGCTTTATTTCAAATGAATTCCTGAATGTGAAACTTAGATTCAAACCTGAAACTATAGAGATTTTGGAAGTCAAGTAAGTGATGCATTATGTCCTAAGTTTTTTTAATTTGCTGGTTTCTTTAAATGGTTAGATTGAGTTAAGACTTGCCTCCTTATAAAGAGAGGCAAGTTCAAGGTTGCTTATTTGTCAGAAGGTATGAGAAGTGGAACTTCTTTATTCATAAATAACCACTGAACACTATGGTTCTGTAGGCCTACGAGGTAAAGAAAGCATGGTGACCAGGCTTTGCTCTCCTGCATTTTCTAGTCAAATAGGACACGGATGTCCTACTCTTTCATCAACCTGTACACACACACACACACTTTACCTGGGGCTTATCATGCTTATCTGTTTAGTGAATAATGTCCTTGACTTATTGTATGGGGGCATTTAGTGAGCACTTTATGAGCCAAATACATTATAAATATTCTTCCATTTGAGCTTCATAACAACTCATTAAGATATCTTACAGACCAGAAACTGTACATCTGAGATGCAAAGGTTCTTGCCTGCAGCCAGCCACTCACTGAGTTGACAGTCCTGAGCCAGGCATGACCCTTCTAGCTGTGTAACCATTATGGTCACATTTTGCCCTATTAAAAAATCCTACCAAGGTCAGTTTCTGGGAAATGACAGCCATTTCACTAGAGAGAAAACAAAACAAAACCCAACTGTGTACTTAAAATAACAAAACAAGCTGTGTTTAAAAATAATAAGGCAAACTACTTTAGATATTGTTTAAGTAAACTGGCAATTTTACTACTTTTTAAAAATCTAATGAATTACTTTTTTTGGGTTCAAATTCCTAGAATTACCTCTTGGGATGTCCTTATGAAAATAAAAAGAATGATTTGAGTTCAAATAAATATTTTATTTAACCAAACGGATACAACATAAATCTTAAGAGACTGGATAGTCAGAGTTCATAGTTCAGACTAATTTGGAGTCTTTATGAAGCTTGCTTCTAAATAAAATTCCAGTGTAGAGACATGAGACCAGGTTACAAAAATGGACCAGAAATTCCCACTCAGACCTCATGTGGCCTTGTGGCTATGAATTTATGTGTAGACTTCTAAATTAGGAACACTGTAAAGTTCCCTAGGACTTTCTGCTATTAACTATTATAAAAAATAAAACCAAGGTTACATCTGACTTTCCAGAGCCTGACCCTCCTCCAAATTCCCCTTTACCCAATTCCTGTCTCCAAGACCTTGATCTTCCTAAGTCTTGGATTGCCACATACTACACAGGTCTGTGCCACAGTGGAAACAAATAAAACTCCGTCCAGACATCAGATCAGCAAAGTTTTACTTTCCAATATGGACTTTCCTGCAGATTGTTTTCATGAATTACCTTCTCAACACAGCACCTCCACTCTGATGGGAAAGTCCCAGGGGGATGTTTTTCCTTCAAAAGTGAGTTTCCTTCCTTCCTTCCTTCCTTCCTTCCTTCCTTCCTTCCTTCCTTCCT